CAAGTATTGGACCATATAAGAGATTATGAAGACCTGAGATAGAGCAAGGGCAGAGGGGCTGGATAGTAGGGATGTCTTTGAGAACAATTACGAATCAGAATGAACAGTATTTGTGACAGTATGTCGAGGTAAGGTGGAAGAAGGATCAAAGGTGACTCCCAGGTTTCTAGACTGAAGAACAGCATGGATGAGCCATTGTCTGAAATGGGACCACGGGAGGAGAAAGTTTACAGGGGAAGATAGTGACTTATTTTTGTTTACATTGAGTTGGTTGAGCCAAAAAGAAAAAAAAAAAAAAAGAAAGAAAGAAAGAAAGAGAAAGAAAGAAAGAAAAACCCTATAAACATATATAAAATAATAAAAATTAGAAGGCCACACTGAAGCCTATCTACAGGAGCTATTTAGTTTGAATACATCACCAAATAAGAATGTCCTTTGAAAGGGTTGTTGACCTTACTGGAGATATAAAGAATATACCACATTTATCTCTGTACTTAGACAATCTCTAATTCCACTTCTTTAACCAATTACTTTTTAATTCTACAGCCTAGACATTAAAAAAGGAAGAATGTCAAGAGTTAAATCTTTTACTCTTAGCTTAATGATCAGTCTCTGAAATCATATTTTTGAAAACTCTAGTACTTAGCCTCATTGTCATCTACAACACTTAACTTCTGGCCCCTTTCCACCCCAACCCCTGCCCCAAGCCACCACACCTCACCTTCCCTTCTTTTTGTAAGAAACAAGAAGCAAAAAGTAAAAAGGATTGTGGGGTTGTAGGTAGTATTCTTTGATCTCTGGATGGGACAATTCAACTCATTCTCTAGTGACTGAGGATTTGTGAACTAAGCCCAATTTCATGCTCATCTTTTCGCCTATCAACAGACTTATATGTCAGGTATAGAAGTTCAAAGAATAAGAGAGATTCTTCCTTCAAAAAGAATACATTCTATCAAGGAAGGAGTGAAAGAGACATAGCCACTAAGATTCAATAATTCACATTCTGATGAGGTTAGATGGACTATGTTCTCAGTTTTCCTTGTTCACTACACTCCTGGCAACCTTCTCAGTGAACATAGACCCAGGACTATCTATGTTCAGAGCACCTTGGTCAAAATATATGTTCAGAGAAATAGCTTGTTGTAGTGGAAAGTGTCCTGGGCTGGGACTTGAGCTACTCTGGAATCTGGTTCCTCTGTGGCAGTCATTAGCTTTCAGTCCCCAGACAGGTTTATCTCCCTGGACTTTAGTGTCCTCACTTGTAGAGTGGCTGGATGAAATCAGAGAAGTCAAAGGGGTTCTGGCTGCCATGACATTTTGAAAATCTGTGATCCTATTCAGGACTGGAATGGTATCCAGAGATTCCTTTAAAATGGATTATGGAATCCAGAGCCAGAAGTCTGAAGTCACTTTAAGCTGGGTAGGCTTCTCCATAGGAGAGATTTCATAGACCTGACTGACATGTGCACAGTGGGTAACATAGTACTTTCATGCTCATTAAATGATTTTATCCTCATTAGGACCTAGGGAAGTCAGTATGATCACTTCCATTTTTATATGAGGAAAATAAAAGAAAAAAAGAGTTAAGTGGCTAATTAAGTTATAAAAAACTTAGGTTACTTTTCTCATTTAATTCACATAATAGCCCTATGACGTTTTCTAATTCTTCCTCTTCTTCCTCCTCTTCCTTTACATTTTACAAATAATGAATCTGAGGTTCATGAGGACTAGGTTGCTTTCACACCATTACTAAGTACTAGATCTCCGATTCAACTCCAAATATGTCTAAATCTAAATTCTCTGTTCACAAGCTTGGTCAGAATCCCAAATGCCTACAACAGTTGGACGGTGATATAAATAAATGAAATGGTCCATGCAGAAGGATTATTTCACTTTCCTTTAACTTTACCAAAGCAAAATAAAAGCATAAGTAAAATAACCTAGGAAAATTATACTTTGAATTACATCGTCAAAGAATGATGGAGAATTATAGAATGGAAGAGTAAACACCTGCCTTAGTCCATTTTTGTTGCTATAAAGGAATACTTGAGGCTGGGAAATGTATAAAGAGGTTTATTTGGCTCACAGTTTTGAAGGCTGTTCGAGATGCATAGTGCCAACATCTACCTCTGGTGAGGGCTTAAGGCTAATTCCACTTATAGTGGAAGGTGAAGGGGAGCCCGCATGTGCAGAGATCACGTGGTAAGAAATAAAACAAGAGAGAGAAGGAAGATGCCAGGCTCTTTTTAACAACCAGCTTAGAGGAACTAACAGAGTGAACTCTCTCACTCCCCTCCCTAACTTCCCAAGGAAGGGATTACTCTGTTCATGAGAGATCTACTCACCCCCACCCAAACACCTCCCATTAAACCCACCTCCAACACTAGGGATCAAATTTCAACATGACATTGAGTGAGAACATCCAAACTATAGCAATGCCCTGTTGAAGGTAGGTGTCTACTAATCAGGTTGATGGAAGGTTGGTTTACATATGCCAGGTCCTTTAACTTGAGAAGAAAAGCTGGATGTCTGGAGTCTTAAGTAAAATCTCTCCATTTCTAAACATTAATAATTAATTACAGCATCATGTAGGTACAAAATAGAGACATCCATTTTGTCTGTATCCAGCTCACAGCATGCCAGTTCATTACTTCTGCCCTGCCCTGTGTTGCCTTTTAGGACTATCTCATAACATTAGCTGTCCTGTGGGCCTTCAAAGACTATTTTGTAGCATTCACTGAGCGCATACTGTACAGCTACCAAATAGCTCAGCTCAAGACTGGAGTGTAGCAGGCACCATTGACCCAATTGTGCCTGTTGCTCGTGGTCAGTCTTTACACTGTGAATGTTGGATTCTTTGAATATCATTCTTGGATGAATGGTTTTCTATGAAACAATTTCCTTAATCCTCACAAAAACCAAGAAAAGATTTAATCACTTCTATTTTGTGGAAGAGTAAATGAATATTCAGGTTGATTATAAAGTTAGATAGCTGTAAGTAGTCAACCTGGACATCAGACTCAGCTCTGACTCCACATTCTCTTCATTCTACAGAGTTGCCTCCATCTTTGAGTTTATTTTAATTGCTTCAAGTTAGGAAACTTTGCTTCCTTTATATCTATCTGTGGTAAGGAGTATACAGGTGGCAGATAGAATAATCATTTTTCTACTCCTCACCATCAGGACATCTACGGATGGAGAAGAAACAGGGCGATAAAGGAAGAAGAAAACAAGAATCTGCTCCTTCATAGTCCAGAAGCTTTGACACTAAGGTGAGATACTCCCACACTCTGCAGGTGACTGCAAGGGCAGGCACACAGGGAGGGAACCAGCTGCTGGAATGTCAACCTAGGCGATGAGCCAGGCAGATGCCAACCAGCTGTCTCATGGCCCAAGCCAGACCCGGAGATTTATATAAAGACAGTCTTCTGCCCAGATGCCTCAGACTGAATGACTGCTTGCCTGGGAGGGTAAGTCTAGAAGCTGGGTCCTGGGATTGGGGTAGAGGTGATGGTCAGGGGGTGCACAGGTTTAAAGGGGTGAGGCCCAGTGAAGGGAGAAGCAGGGAGCAGAAGAAGAAGGGTGGGGGGTTAGCTTGAAGAGAAAAGTCTGGTGAACTTTTAGGGGACAGAAGATGAATAGCTGTGGAGTTTCTGAAAAGAGCTAGGGCTGTGAAGTCAGTGTAATTTGTCTTTGATAAGCCTGGCCTCATTCTCAGGCACCATTTTCCCCATCAGGACCTGTTATTTCTGAAAAAGATTCATTAGCAGTGTACATATTGTGAATAGAGTTGTGTGAGGGAGGGTTACTTCCCCAGGGGAATATGTATTTAAATATTCTCTGTAACTGGAAAACAGAAGGCCTTCTTCTTCACTGGAAACATTTTCAGAATTGTTGGATAAGCCAATTGCCAAATCATCCCCATTGCTTTGCTTTGCATACTGAGGAGAGAGTCTGGTGAGTTTTAGGGGACAGAAGGTGAATAGCTGTGGAGTTTATGAGAAGCACTAGGGCTGTGGAGTTCGTGCATTTGTCTTTGATAACTCTGACTGCCTGTAAATGAACAGGTGGCTTTGGGGAGGACAGAGAAATGGGACTGCCCTATTGTCTTCCTGGCTAAGTGTGGTCCTGGAGTGTATGCCTGCATCCCTCAGGTTATGTTTGTAATGTGCCTGCTCTTTAATGATCTTTAAATGAGACTGAATAGCCGTCTAACGATTAAGAATTGTGTGCTTTATGGGTTACACCCACATAGGTAACTCTGCTCTGCCTCTAAGAGGGCCTGGGGAAAAACATTTCAGAAGCCTATAAACAACAATAGCGACCTGCCTGGGCATGTTGCTATGGTGATCCTGAACCTTTCCAAGGCCGCTGTGTTTTGCATGTGTGTGCTCTGCATACAGCATATTTAAATGAATTTATCTAAAAGAAGATTGAATAAAGAGAAACAAAGATTTAATGTTGGGTTTGAGCAACCCAAAAATCTGATTGGATCATTTACTTTCCAGGATGCTTTGACATTATGTGAATGCAGATGGTGCCTGAGTGCTTGTTTCCACATGTACATTTTTACATGTTTGCACATATATATGTGTTGCCAGTGTGTGTGTAGGGGGACTAAGTTCCTGTGGGACTGGAGTCCCCACTTTGGGCTACAGCCTTGCGTGCAAGATGTTACCTCTACTTCCTGTAGGGCTGCTGACACTACTCAGGCCATAAGAAAGTGTGATGTATCTTCTTGTCCTCCTGATTCTGGACACTGGTATGGCCACTTGCAACTCTGGCTGTGCACAATCAGGCCCTTTGGCAGATCCAGGGCAGATCTAATAGACAAATCCTGGATCCCCCCCTAAGTCAGTAAGGATTCTTTGGTGAAGGCTCAAGGTATAGGAAGATGGGAGCTACCTTTCCCTAGATCCTGCTCCCTACTCTTCAATGCTCACCCCCTTGACCCTGATCTCTCTGCCCACAGGTCCTGCTCACCCGCCTACATCAGGACCATGTGTGACCAGCAGCCGATTCAGTGTTGCCTGCCAATCCCGCAGTGCTGCGTCAAGAGTTCCTCCTTCTGCCCCTCTCAATCCTCCTTTGCCAATAATCAGGTGCTGGTTCAAGCCCCTTATGAGATGCAAATTGTGGAGTGCCCTGCACCGTGCCCAGCTCAAGTTTCGCAGGTGACATGTCAGGCTCCATGCCAAGAGGTGAAGTGCCAGTCTAAGACCAAGCAGGCAAAGGGTCTATTTCAGTCTAAGACCACCCAGTCAAAGAGCCAGGTTTCATGCCAGTCTCAAGCTTCCTCTGGTCAATGCCAGGCTCCATGCCAATCTGGGGTTTCCTACGTGTCATGTGACGCCTCACCCCCCGTCCAGACTTACTATGTCGGATGTGCTCCTGTTTGTTATACAGAAACATGTTTTGTGGAATGCCCAGTCCAGACTTGTGTACCCTGTCCAGCTCCTCAGCCGGTCCACACATACGTAGAACGCCCCCCAGTGTGCCAGACTCAGGGAAGATTCTCCACCCAGGGCCAGTATCGTGGCTCCTACAGCAGTTGTGTCCCACAGTTCCAGCCTCGGGGTTCCTATAATAATTGCACCTCCCAGTACCTGTCGCGGCCTTTCTACAACAGCTGTGCCCCTCAGCTGCAGTCCCGAGCTTCATTTAGTCCTTGTGTGCCCCAATGCCAGACCCAGGGCTCCTACGGGGACTACTCTGCCCAGCACCGGTCTCTGAGCGCCAGCAGATGCCTCCCTCCTAGGCGGCTGCAGCCTTTTCCCCGCAGCTGTTCCCCACCACGACGATATGAGCCCTGCTACAGCAGCTGCCTGCCATCAAGATCTACTGGTTCCCCTAACTACTGCACCCCACCCCGACGCTCGGAACCCATCTATGGCAGTCACTGTCCTCGGGGCCCCACTTCAGGCTGTTCTCAGAGACGTGGACCCAAGTGCAGAATAGAGATTTCTTCCCCCTGCTGCCCCAAGCAGGTTCCCCCACAGAGGAGTCCTGTTCAGATTCCTCCCATCAGACGCCGCTCCCAGAGCTGTGCCCCTCGGCTCTCCTGGGGTGCCTCCTGCCCAGAACTGAGGCCTTACGTGGAGCCACGTCCACTTCCAAGCTTCTGTCCACCACGGCGTCTTGATCAGTGTCCAGAGCCGCCACTGCAGAGGTATCCACTTCCTGTTCCACTTCCACGTTCACGCCCGTGCATGAGTCCAGAACCCCGTCCTTGTCCTCTACCACGGCAATTTTCAGAGCCTTGTCTGTATCCGGAACCACGTCCAGCACCATGTCCAGCACCACGTCCAATGCCACGTCCAGCTCCACGTTCTCGCCCAGCGCAGTGTGAGATTCCAGAGCCACGTCCATTCCTGCAGCCCTGTCAGCACCCAGAGCCTCTTCCACTGCCAGAACCAATTCCCCTGCCTGCGCCCTGCCCAAGCCCAGAGCCATGTGGGGAGCCTTGGCGCTGCCCCAGCCCTTGCTCGGGCCCAAATCCGTTTCCATGCCGAGGAGACCTAGGCTGCCGTGAGTCCAATCCACACCACCTAGACACCGAGGCTCCCAGCTGTGGCCCATCCGGTTTTAGTCAGGGGCAAGAGATGCACGGCTGTGAACCTGGTGATGTGTTTCCAGAGCGGTGGGGTCAGGGTAGATGTGGAGACCAAGGCAACACCTGTGCTGGAGTGAAAGGTGGGGCTGATGATGGAGCAAAGAGTGCCTATTTTTAAAGAAAGTGTGGCTGAAATGTTCCTGCCTCCTGCTCTGAAACTGCTGCTCATCTTTTTCCAGCAGCCTCAATTTCTAATGTGCTCTTGTCTGCATCTCTCTAAAGACATCCAGAGACTCCCTGGTACAAAGGTGATGTCCACACTCCTTTGCATGCCATCTCAGTGTCCACACCTGGGTCTCAGATGCCTCTTTAGCCTCACATCTGATGACTCCCCTACACACATTCTCAGTCCTGGCCAAACCAGTCTGGCCACCTGGGCACATCTTGGGTGTTCCCCAGGACACACCTTAGGTGCCTCTGCTCATTCCTTTCCCCGCATCTGGACCACCTCTTTCCTACTCCCCAGCATCTGAAATCCAACCCACCTGTCAATGCTTCCTCCTTGGAGCCGTCTCAGCTTGTTTCCAACCATGGGAGCCTGTTCTGACTGTCTAGGACCCACTTCATTCTCCACAGCATCCATCTGGCACATCTGGAACATCTCTTGATTGGTTATTTCACTTTTCAGGTGTGCCTGCCTCACCTGCCCAACCAGATTGTAAACTCCTGTCTGAGTGAAGTCAAAATAGAATATCCCCGCATCTCAGTGCCTATCCTGGAGCCAGCAGCTGTGTAGTAAGGTTTTCAGGTTGGCGGCTTGAGCCATATTCTGCTCTGATGGGCAACTGCAGGAATTGAGGCAAAGGAGGCCACATGATAATAAAGACCATGATGTACTCGCAGCCTGAGTCCCGAGTCATGCCTGCCTTTTATTCCTCTCTGCCTTGCTAAGTTGGTTGTTGTTGTTGTTAACTGTGATAAAATACACATAAGATAAAATTTACCATCTTAACCACTTTTAAGTGTACAGTTCAGTGGCATTAAGTACATTCCCATCATTGTGCTACCCCACCACCATCAAGCCACAGAACTCTTCATCTTGCTAAATTAAAGCTGTACCCATTAAATAACAACTCCTCCTTCCTAACTCTCCTCAGCCCCTAGAAACCACCCCCTTCTACTTTGTTTCTATTAATTTGGATATTTTAGAAACTTCATATAAGTTAAATGATTCAGTATTTGACCTTTTGTGATTGGCTTATTTCACTTAGCTGAATGTCCTCAAGGTTCCTCCATGTTCTACCATGTGACATGACCTCCTTCTTTTCTAAGACCAAATAATATTCCATGGTATTTAGATACCACATTTTGTTTATTCACTCATCAATGGGTGGATGGATACTTGGGTTGCTTTCACTTTTTCTTATAGTAAATAGTTATGTGATGAACATGGGTGTGCAATATACCTCTCTGAGTCTTTGATTTCAATACTTTGGGTATATATCCAGAAACAGGATTGTTGAATCATATGATAATTTTATGTTTAATTTTTTGAGGCACTGTTTTCCCTAGTGGCTGCACCATTTTACATTCTCACTAACAGTGCACAAAGGTTCCAGTTTCTCCACAACCTTGCCAACGTTTATTGTTTTCTATTTGTTGTTTTATTTTGTTTTGACGATAGCACCCTAATGAGTGTGATGTGGTTTATTGTACCCATGATCTGAGCTCTCCTTAGCCTAGACCAAGGAGGTTACCTCGTGTGTTTTCTATCTCCTATCTGTGTCCCCAGCCCCTGCTGGAAGGATGGAGGAAAAGGCAAAGGGAATAAGGGAAGAGGAAGGATAACTCTTGTTTCTCAGTCCAGGAGTAAAGGTCTTCAGGCCTGGGTTTAGCAGGTCGCCCAACTATATGACTACAGTCAAAACCATGTTACTCCTGGAACCAGGGGAAGAGGAGTAGGAGCACCCAGAGGCTCCCTGGGAATACTACACAAGATACACACTCTTCTTTCAGGACTAAATCATTTTCTTTTCTTTTCTTTTGGAAGTATCTGAGACTGACTCTGTAATCCTCAATTGCTCCCAAATGTCATTAGGCATGGGTGGTCTTGGCAGTAGGATGAGAACTGGATGGAACAGGAGCGCAGAGATGCCTCTTCCTCCCACTCCTTGCAGATGAGATGAGTGCTGCATTTATGTGCCTCTGGAGGACAGACCCTGCCTCAGGGAGCTGGTGCCCTGAGCCATAGTGGCCTGTAGAGGAGAGTGACAGCAGAAGACTCTGACCTGGGTCTCTGAAGGTCTTATCCAGTACCCTCCTCCTCACAGGCCACTCTCCAGAGGACCTACAGCTACAGTGCTATAGTTGGGAACCAAAGACCCAGGGCCTGGCTCTGAGTATGCCTTTTCCTTACCCAACAAGGAATCTAGTTCTGCAGTGTCAGTGCTGGAGGCTCCAGAGACCACCTAGCAAAATTCTGTGCTATATAAAGGAAAACCAAGGCTCTTTGCGTGGAATTCATTTTTTCATGTATTTTTAAAAAATATTAATTGTTTGCTTGTTAGGAAGGCTCTGGCTAAATAGAGAGCATAACCCTTGCCCACTGTCAGTATGCAATGTAGTACACTGGTTCTCAAAGTTTGATACCTGAGTCAGCAGCATCTGTATCACCCAGCACCTTGTTAGAAATGCAAATACATCACACAGACCTAAAGAAGCAGGGATCCTAGTGGGGCCTTCCTGGTGTTGCTGATGCTAGGAATGTTTGGTCATCATTGGTTTAGTGAAAGCCTTATGCAGATAGAATATGATTATTCTACCTAGAGAATATCTAGAACTAAACCAGTGATGACCAAACATTCCTGGCATCAGCAATAACAGGAAGGCTGGTTAAAACATAGCTTTCTGGGCCTCTTGCTAGGGTCTTTGCTTCCTTAGGTTTAGGATGGACATGGAAAATAAAATAATGGGTGGGCCATGCATGGACTAACATAAGTATCTGATTCTGACTTAAAGCTTGCCACCAGATGCAGCTGTACAACTGAAGTACATCAACTCACTTGCCACTCACTGAAGGGGTTTTGATATGAGTCTGCAAGCAATTGATTTATTATGGTCTCTGTGCAGTCAAACCTCATTGCTAATGTCAACCTGGATTTGCAGCCACTGCCCAGCACTAGCATCACCACCTCAGGCATTAGAGTCTTATAAGGAGCATGCAACCCAGATCCCTCACATGCACAGTTAACAGTAGGGTTCATGCTCCTATGAGAATCTAGTGCCGCTGCTGATGTGACAGAAGACAGAGCTCAGGTGGTAACGTGAACAATGGGGAGTGACTGTAACTACAGAGGAAGTTTCGTTCACTCGCCCACCATTCCCCTTCTGCTCTGTGGCCCAGTTCCTAACAGGCCATGGATCAGTACCTGGGGAATGGGGACACCTGGCCTGTACTGTTCTTCGGGGATAGACTCTGGTTCCCAGTATAACATCCTCCAATCCCTTTTTACATCCAAGCAGATACCTACTTGAATGTGAAAAGGGATTGGATAATGGTAGAATAGAGGAGTCTCTGGGTGAGTCAGGCTGGAGCTGAAGAAACTCCTGATGGCCTGGTGCTCTCCACTGCCCAGGATTGTGCAGGAGCCAGTCTCTAAGCTGTGTCTACAGTCAGAGACAAGCACCTCAGAGGAAAGAGGCACACATAGGAGTGTGCACACCTGTATTTTTGTATGTTTATTTATTTGTCTATGTTCTTTAAAGGCCCAGGGCTTGGCAATGTGGACTGTGACCTCAGGAACATAGTTTGGGATAACCTACAGTCCATAACCTACAATCCTTCAGCAATGGCTTTGATGGCCCTTCCTAGTCATCTCTTCTATGCTCCACTCTTCAACATTTTACAGGGGACTTGCCTCCCTGTTTTCTGCCCTGTCCATCTACATCAACCATTCGAACAAAACCTAAAGTGTCTCCACGACCAGGCTCAAAACTCAAAAAAGCACAAGAGATCATTTATAAGGCCCTTCAAAGTGCTCAAAAGTCCAGCAGAGAGTCCTCTTTGGATGTCACACTAACATTAAGCAGCACACCATTTGTGTAGCATTGTTTCTGCTTCACTCTTTTGTGGTCTATTTCCTAGAAATGCCTGTGCATTGGCCAAGACACAAACAATCTGAGACAGAGATGAGGCCAGATGCCTATGCCTGACATCCAGACATGTTGTCTCAGAATGAGGACCTGGCATCCAGAAAGGAGAGACTGGTGAATCCAAGTGAATATAACAGATTGGGCCTAAAGACCATGCTTCCCACATTGGAATCCTGCTCACATCTCTCTGTAGTTCTATACCCCTTTTCTCTTTCTAAACCTCCTGTCATGGGATCTCTACTATTGAATAAAGGATGTTCTCAGATATTCATTCCAGACTGGGTGGATTATTCATAATTCTTCTTTGTGGCAGACACTATGCTAGAGTGAAATTACCAGGACTACTCACTTAAAGATCCAGAATCCCAGAATCCATCCCCAAATTACTTAATTTTAATTTCCAGAGCAAGAGTCTGAGGTTTTTATTTAAAAACACTTCTGACAAGTTGGAGGTGAAAACTATTGCTAAAATATTAATAACCAGGCTTATGAGCTTACTCAGTGCCTAGAAGGAAGGTTGAAACCTGTATACATCTGACCACAGCATGAATTGGATGTGGACATGGTGGTAAAAATGAAGCTGATCATTAACTGTCTTTTGTAAGAGGTTTTAGGTAATTTCCCTATGTGTGGAGTCAAATTTTCCTCACCTCAGTCTGGAAGCAACTTAAGACAAAGGAATCTCTTTCTTTCTCCCAGTTAAATCTTAAACTTTACCACCACTCAAAACATTCAGAATGGGACTCTGTACATGGCTGCATGAGGTGGGATCTGGCATATGTTACAGATATTTTTACTAGGAAATGAGGGCCTAGCCATGGTAAGTCTCTCCTATACCTAAGCATTTTCCAGACATGAAGAGGAAGAAATTCCACATCCCATAGTTTGTCTTACAGACAATAATAGCAAATAGAACTGCCATGCATCAGAGAATAGCTCAGCTGTTAATGCTAGGATACACAGGTCGATAGCAGTAATCAGAAGACAGGCAGTGCACATGTGGATACCTCATTGCTTTATAGGAGA